TTTTATTCCAGAATCGTAGCTTTGGTCAGCCATTTTACAGATGTCTTCAAATTGTCGCATCAAAACAGGCTAATGAAAGAGAACTAACTAACTCTGTGCTAAGTAAAATGATTACTCCAAGTGATGCTTTTGAGGTATGAAAGTTTTTTTTTAATAAACAATTAACAGCAAACCAACAGTAATGCCGTGAAAGAGGCCCAAAAATATAACACACGATGTCCCGCGTGAATCAAAACATAACAAAAGTAGAATGCCACTCACTAAAAACATAGCTTTTTAATGTTGAAAGAATTTTTGAAATCGGTCCAGTAGATATTGATTTATTTAAATATGAACAAAACACAAAGTTTTTCTTCTAATCTAGTCTAGGCTTAAAGATCTAGATCTAGTCTAGATGTTATTAATACAGTAGAACCTTGATAAGTTAAAGTCCAAGAGAAACACAAGATATTTGAAGTTATAGAGGTTTTAAGTTATCAAGGGTCTATGTTGTAGAGATTTTGTGCTCTGATGGGAAGGGAATATATTATTTGAAGATATAGAGGTTTTTGAGTTATCGAGGTTCTACTGTATATTATTTTAAGTCTATTTCTCCTGGGGGATGAGGTTTGAGCCCCCTGGAGGGGGTTACACCACTTTTTGTGCACTTCTTTTAATATTTTTTTATTTTGTTTTTTTTTTTTAAATTGTTTATCCTAGGTGTTAAAAAGTTATGCAGCGACATATAGGTCTCGGCGGAGCACACTCGCTCGTCTCGCGGAAATGTATGGAGATGATTTATTTATGACCCCATTGGTAAGTGATAGACTAGTTCGTGACTTCGTCCGCGTTGAAAATAGTAAATATAGCCTATGTTACTCTGGGATAACGTAGTTTACTGGTGCAAGAATTTATTGAAATTGACCCAGTAGTTTTTGAGTTATTTCAATACATACAGAAATACAAATCGTTCCTCTTTATAATATTAGTATAGATTACTATATAGTTTTGATGTATGTTAGAGTTTGTAGCCTAAACTGCTGAAAGGATCTATGTTTCATAGATTTAGAAGATAGTCTGAAACACAGGCTACTTTTTTTAATTCAGCGCGGACGCAGTCGCCAAAGTAACTATGGCGTTATTTCGCTTTTTCGGCGAATTCAAGTAGCCTTGAATGCCTTAAGTCATAAAAATAGTAAAATAATGTTACAGTCAGAAGGCGGCTATCAGCTGCAATGCGCAAACGTTCTAGAACTTTCTTGGACGTTGGAGAGTAAACCTTCGACTGTCGCTTACTTCAGACATCGTATGAAACTCAGCTTGGAGTATATGGGTAAGATTAAATAATACTAGCTGTTCCCGTCTTCATCCGCATATTAAAACTTTTTTTTATTGTTTACTTGACAAATTCTCAATTGCAAATATCAAAAATACCGTTACCATAACCTTGCTTACTTAATGTTGGCCTTTTTATGGTCCCTTTCACACATGAAGGTTTTTTCGATTTAATTACCTCCTAAGTGTAAGCGTGTAGCGTTAAAATATATAGCCTAAAGCGTGACGTAAGTGTAGGGCTTTTTATTAAAGTTAGAATTTTTCAAAAATATACTGCGATTGCTGACTTCTTACTTCACAAAGTAGTGGTTTACACATTATTTAGTTAATATTAGTACAGATAATGAATCATCATCACCAGCTCACTATACGTCCCCACCGAGGGGCTCGGAGCCTACCCTAAAGTTAGGGTGACTAGGACATAGTCAACCACGCTGGCTAAGTGCGGGTTGGTTGACTTCACACATATCTTTGAATTTCTTCGCCGATATGTGCATCACGATGTTTTCCTTCACCGTAAGAACGTCGGGTAAATTATGTACATATGAATATTCGAAAAATCTAAAATCACATTGGTACATGGCGGCGGGATTCGAACCCAAGACCTGTAGATTACAAGTCATGTGTTCAAACCACTGAGCCACCGACGCTCAAAAATGAATAACTTAGTATTACAATCTATGTAGGAGCAATAATAAATCAAGAAATGAGACTAATATCAATAATCACACACAAAAAAACTTATTTTACAACAATTTTTTTCCTTATCTACACTATTATAATAAAGCGTAAACACACACTTCTTTGTTGTCTAAGATGTCAGCAATTACAGCATATTTTTGTATAATTCTTCATTTAATAAAAAGCCCTACACTTACCTCACGCTTTAGGCTTAATATTTTCTCGCCGTTAAACTTAGGGGGTAAATATTTTGGATAAAACCCTAATGTGGGAAAGAGACCATAAGTTGCTGCCAACATCAAGGAAGAAAGATTGCTATGGTTTTTCATGTCAAAATGATATTTACTATTGATAATTTGACAAATGTAAACAATAAAATAAAATTTTTCATATATTCATGCGGATGAAGTCGCAAGGGAACAGCTTTTAGTTGATAAAATTTAAAATTAAACCGCTTATAACTACATCGATAACAACCGTATTTCAGATGAAACATCTCTTAAAATAATAACACAAGCAAACAAAGAAATGTCAAATCCATCAGTTGACACAGAAGAGAGGACGTTACTCCTATCTAAGATCATCAGCACATGTCTCAAAGCTCAGGAAGGAACTTCAGGATCTGAACCATCCAAGGTCCAGAAGAGACCTAACGATGGAGATCTTCCAGTACCAAAGAAGAATAAAACAAACGAAGTTATGGGACCACCGACGGCATTCCCAAAGAAAAGCAAAATTAAAGGCAAAGAGAATAATGATAATCGTTCATCCAATAAAACTGCAGATAAACCTAAGAAAAGTAATGAAAATCACAAAGATACTAACGTATTAGAAAAAGCTAGAAATTCTAAAGTGAAAGATCCAACAAAAGTATCTAATAAAGATAATAAGAATATGAAAAAACCAACTAAAGAATCTAACGAAGAAGTTGTTAACAAAACTAAAGATAAATTAAATAAAGCCACAATGAAACCAGATTTAGTTGATAATTCAAAAAACAAATTACAAAAAACGGACAAAACGAATGTACCAAATAAAGAAAATATCGAAAAACCAAAAAAAGATGAAGAAACCAAACAAAAAGGTAAGAAACTCCCAGAAAAGAACTCAACTAACAAAGAGAATGTAACAAAAATCGAAGAAATCAAGAATTCTCAAGAAACTAAAAATATTAACAAAGAAATGCCACAAACAAAAAGGATTAATTTAAAACCAAGCATAAAAAAGAATGAAATAAACAAACACTCAGATATAAAATCTAGCAACACTGAAATAATCAAACCAATTAATAAAAGATTTAATAATATTAATAAAGAGAAAATTTTGCAGACGAAAATACCAATGAAAATGAACGCATACAGGATGAGCCCAAGTAAGTATTATAAACTAGCTGATGACCGCGACTTCGTCCGCGTGGTATAAGAAAACATACGAACTATATATATATATATATAACAAAAAGCTACGTATCCCGGGAACCGGACACCTCGGGGATGAACCTCATCCCATGTGTACTCCAGACTTTGTTTTATATCTGTGCCAAATTTCAATAAGATATGTTGAACCGTTGCAGAATGATCGAGTAAACATTAAAAAACTAAATTAATGAACCCCAGAACCGTAACTTATCCCGGGATAAAAAGTAGCCTATGTGTTCTTCCAGACTATGCTCTAAACCTGTGCCAAATTTCATGGAGATCCGTTCAGCCGTTTAGGCTACAAACGCTAACAAACATCCATCCATCCAAACTTTCGCATTTATAACATTTATATGATTTATTTCATTTAATAAAATAAAGCCTATGTTATAGATAAATTACCTTTCTAATGGTGTAAGAATTTGTAAAATTGTCCCAGTAGTTTTTGAGTTATTTCAATACATACAAAAATAAAAATCTTTTCTCTTTATGTTAGTATAGTTTATTTTTACATTGTTACTTTAGTATTATTGTACTCATTTCAGGGACAAATGTGAAGAATGTGACGTCATCAGCGAGTCTACAGAAAATCAACAAGACAACTAATATAGCCAGTAAGTATTTTTACCAATTAAGTTCTTTCCCACCAAATTGTTAATTGTCTGATAATGCAACGTGTAAAATACTAAAACTATCGGATTTTGTTCCCCCTGACAGTGACGTCATTAAGCTATCTGAGCCTCTATCAGCCAGTAGTGGGGCAAGCCCGTAACGTAATGTTTGTATATATCTTTATATAAATGCTAAAAACTGAACGGATCCTTTTGATTGTCATAGATGTAGATAATCTGGAAGATAAATACTATTTACTTTTGTCTTTTAATACCACGCGGAGTCGAGGGCGGAAGCTAGTCATCAATATGAGATATTGTAAACTTTCTAGCTTGTCCACCACTGGCTGATAGAGGTTCAGATAGCTTAAAATGACGTCACTCAGATAAGGGAATTTACGATTGGATGGTTATCTGACAATTTGGTGGGAGAGGCCCTTAGTGTTATATTTTTATTTTGTTTATTTCATGTTTTATTGTTACAGGGTTAGTAAAGAAACCATCAGGAAAAAAAATATTATAATGGTAAAACAGTATTTAATTATTAATAATGTATTTGTCAAACTTATTCTGTTATTTAATAAAATGTCTTATTAATAACTTTTTCTTGACAATTTTCTTGTATATAAAAACACAAAATTCAAATATAAATTCCTTTATTCATACTTAACAATAAATGCCTTTTAGTATTCAACAATTACATTGTATTTTCGTTTAATAATCATCGTTCTCGAAAGGATGGTATTTGTGGCCGAGAGAACTGTAAAAAAACAATTATAGTAAAATATTTAGGTTGCAATTCACAAGGAGGGTGATACCATTTGACAAAATATCCTCCAAAATGTGGTAAAGTCCCCGGAATACACTAAACATCCTCTTAAATGTTACCTATCTCCCCCAAAATACACCACGCTTTCCCAAAGAGTGATCAGAGTCTCCCAAATATACAACACTCCGTAAATATTACCAAGTTCCGTTAATCAGGTGTATTCTCAAAAATGTGATCAAACTCCCCCAAAAGGCAGCAAAAATAGCCAAAATTTGATCAATTTCCCCCAAATACACTAAACTTCCCCAAAATATGATCGACATCCCCCAAAATACACTAAATTTCGCCTTAAATGTGATCAAACTCCCCCAAATAAGTACAGTTATGTTAAGAAATGTTTAATCAAAAAACTAATTGTAACCTGTATTTTATAAGGAATCAAAATATGCTTTTTATTTTATTATACTCACGCCGTCATTGGCACCAGACGTCCGTTACAATCGAAACTATTGATTAGTTCCAGATCTTCGTTAGACAATTTGAAGTCAAACACCTGGAAGTTGCTCGCAATTCTAGATTTTGTCACCGACTTAGGTATCACAATGTTGCCGCGGTCTATTTGATATCTGGAAGAAAAATTGAACTTTTTGGTAAAATTTGCTAAACTCAAAAACTAATTAATAGTTTTTGATTATTATATAAATGGGACCAAATGACATACTATCGAAAAAAATATATAATAAGCCAACTAAGAACGAAAGTAACATAAATACAGATTTTTTTTTGAAAACGGTTAATAACACGTTTAATTTGAAAAGCGTCGGCAGAATAACTAGTAATTATGTACTAGCTATTTTAAAAATATTCGATCGCGACTTCGTCCGCTCGGAATTAAAAAAAACTTTAACAACCTTTTAAGTCCTGTAACTGAACTTGACAAGTGTGAACCAGCCATAAGAGTATCTTCTACATTTATGTCCTAATTTGACCGAGATCTATTCAGCAGTTTAGGCTACAAACTAACAAAAATCCATCCATTTCCTTATTAGTAAGAAACATACCTAATTAAGACTTGAGCCACAGTCTTCCCCAGTCTATCAGCGATCACCTTCAACTTCTCATCCTCCAAGAGTTGAGGGTCTCCGGGCTTAGCCCAGGGTCTGTCCGGAGACCCCAGCGGGGAGTAAGCAGTTATCAATATATTATGTTCCTCACAGAATGATTTTAAACGACTTTGGTTTAAATACGGATGACATTCCACCTGTTTGAATAAGTACTACATTAAAATATCTACACAAAAGAATAGAATTTCTACTAATTTTATTATAACTTGTATGATAACTGAAAAGGCTGTTATTCTATTTATTTAGCTATTGCTGGCGATTTCGTCTATAAATTTAAAATAAATGTTACTGATAACGTAGCTTAATGGTGAAAGAATGTTTGAAATTGCCCCAGTAGTTTTTGAGTTATTTCAATACATACAAAACTAAAAAATCTTTCCCCTTTATAAAGAGAGATTATAATAGATATGAGAAATTAAGAGACATATTTGTATAAGGCATTTTAATTGGATTTTTAAACCCAAATAGTCAACTAAATTCACAGAACTAAGTGTCCATTATCTAGATATCCGCATTAAAAATATTGCCTACCTTCAATCAGACACAAATAAATATTTCCCCTTCCTATTGTCTTTTATAAATCCCTTTCCCATCCTTTCCTTTTAAAATGGAATGGATACTAAAATTCCGCTGTTATTATTGGCTAAAAATTACCGTTAACAGCCTTGCTTGATTGGCTTGTAATTTTGTTTTTCGTATGACATTTTTCTCAATTCATTTACACCGTAAATTAAATAGCATGAAAATATATAGCCTATAGCGTGTCGTAAATATAGGGCTTTTTATTAAAGAAAGAATTATTCAAAAATATGCTGTAATTGCTGACATCTTACGTCACAAAGTAGTGTGTTTACGCTTTATTATAATAGTATAGATATAACAAACCTGGTTAGTAACGGGTTTCACAGTAGCAATTTGCAGCAAACGGGTTAATTGTTTAGAATTAAAGTTTGAAACTCCAAGACTTTTCACTAAACCCTCTTTCTGTAATGGTTCTAGAGCCTTCCATGTATCCAAATAATCCACATCGGAGAATTGGATCTTATTTGACTCATCCATAGGGAATAAATCTCCATCTTCCTAAAAATAGTAGAAAAATAACGGTAGTTTCCCATCCCCTTGAGTAAGCCTGCTCTAAGTTAGTGACTAGGACATAGTTAACCTGCACTGCGCGACTTCACACATATCTTTGAGTTTCTTCACCAATTTGCATCACGGTGTTTTCCTTCACCGTAAGAACGTCGGGTAAATTATGTACGTATGAAATTCGAAAAATCGTAAATCACATTAGTACAGCGGGATTCGAACCCAAGACCTGTAGATTACAAATCAAGTGCTTAAACCACTGAGCCACCGACGTTCGTAAAATTGTACTGAACAGTATCAACATCTAAAACTAATTTTTGCTTACGACATCATACTCTTGAAAAAAAAATTAAAAGAAATAACCTATGTTACTCACTGATAACGTAGCTTTTTAATGGTGAAAGAATTTATAACTATCCCAGTAGTTTTTGAGTTATATCAATACATACAAAAAAAACAAATCTTTCCTATTTACAATCTACACTAAAGTTAGAAAAAGGAAAGATTTACATTTTTGTAGATATTTATACAACTCAAAAACTACTGGGACAGCTATAAATTCTTTCACCATTAAAAAGCTGTTATCAGTGAGTAACATGGCTATATTTTTTAATTTAACGTGGGCAAAGTCGCGAGCAACAGCTAGTTTTAGTATAAATGGATCTTACCTTATAAGCCTGCGGCCAATGTATTAAATATAGATCCAAATAGTCCACATTTAAATACTCCAATGTCTTTTGCAACGCACCCCTCACCAAATCCGGGCGGTGGAAAGTGTTCCACAACTTGGAGGTAATAAACAAATCCTCCCTAGAGAAAACAAATAAAAACCTATAACCTGGATTACTGAATTTTCCATTTTATCACTAGCATTCGCCCGCGACTCCATCCGCGTGGAATTAAAAAAAAGCAAAAGTGAAGCCTATGTGTTCTTCCAGACTATCATATACTATGCCAAATTTCATCGAAATCCGTTCAGCCGTTTAGGCTACAAACTTTAACAAACATCCATCCATATATACTTTACATTTATATTAGTAACAGTACATAAATTAATTAGTTAAAACTCAAGTTTAGTTCGGAAACTCATTTTATGAAAGTTGAACTAGAAACTACGATTAAAGATGGCTGGGAAACCGACCATTAGTCAATATTACTTCAACTATTTCTTTAAACAAGGCATACCAAATTATAACTTACTAGACGTATTGCTGACTACCCTCTACAAACTCTAACATCCATCCATCTAAACTTTCGCATTTATAATATTACAAAGATAATATTTTTAAACTACCTTACCGTTTAACAACTCCCTCCTTTATTTTAGCAGTAATAGCCTCCCCCACTTCCTTCTCATTGCCATACACGAACGCGCAGTCTATGTGACGATATCCAATGTCTATAGCATCCTTTACAGCTTGGGTTACTTCACCTGGCTTTGACTGGAATACATCATAAATGGGTTATAAAAAAAATATTATTAACTGGCTATTGCTCGCGACATCGTCCCCGTAAAATTAAAAAAAATATATCCTTTGTTACTCACAGATAAATTGCCATTTTAATGGTGAAAGAATTTTTAAAATCGTCCCAGTAGTTTTTGAGTTTATTTGTTATTACATTACACAAGTGGGTTTTTGCTTTATTTTGGTTGTAATCTCCAGAAATGCTTGATTTTTAAAGAATTTTTTATATTCTTAGTTGCCTTCTAGTCTATACTAATATTATGAAGAGGAAAGATTTGTATTTTTGGATTTATTGAAAAAACTCAAAAACTATTGGGTCGATTTTAAAAATTCTTTCACCATTCTATATCACTATATGCTATATTTATTGCAATATTTATTTCCACGCGGACAAAATCGCGAGCAACAGCTAGCCTAGTATACTAATTATAAAGAGGAAAGATGTATTTTTGGACATTTATAATAATAATAATAATAATAATACACATTTAATCAGTTCCAAAACACACTGCAACACAATACAACATAATATATTTGAACAAAAAAAAAATACAAACATGTTTGATTGACGCAAAAACTGGTCCGAATAAAATACCTTACACCAATATTTTTTGGTTTCACGCGGACGGAGTCGTAGGCAACAGCTATTATATAAAATTCATCTTAGTTACATAATTGTCAATATTACATAACCATATCATGTAAAGTGATCTTGTCATGAACTTTAACCTACGATAAACAGCTCTAAAATATTTGCTACAATATTTTTAACCATACTAAAACCTTATGTAAATAGGGTTATAACCTCTTATTGTATAACAGCAAATCTCTACATCTTACATGAATTTTTAAACAATTTATAGCTATTTCCCGCGATTAACGATTTGACAGATTTAGCAGTGGTAGAGCCCGCTTTAACGTCTTCGCATGAAGGGGTCGGCTCGCCTGGTGTAACAAAGAAAATAGGCGTGAAGTGCAATTTCAGTCCCTTTCCAGAAAAGTGGATTTGACGGTGGAGACGCAGAGGAAGGGAAAATTTCCTCTTTATGTGCGTCTCCTCCGTCAATGAAGGGTAGGCAACGCATCTGCAATTGCGGATGTTTATGGGCAGCGGTCGCGTTTTATTTCGATAGATTCAGGTGGCCGCCTGCTCGTTTACCACCTTATGTTATAAAAAGGGGTAATTCAAAAATATACTAAGATACTCTCAAACTTCCTCTAATATACTCATTTGGCATTTATTTACGTTAGATACGAAATGAGTATAATAGAGGAAGTTTGAGAGTAGCCCCAGTGGTAGAGAAGGTAAGGAGTAAAAGGTTAGTGTGGGGGCATGTTGTGAGGATGAATCGCATGTTACAAGGAGAATGTTAGTTACGAGTGTGGACACCGGTAGAGGTAGACATAGAAAGAGATGGATGGATTATGTGAAAGGAGATAGATGATACTGTAATTGCTGACATCCTACATAAATGTGTGTTTACACTTTATTATATTGGTAAAGATATAGGTAGATAAGATTAGTATATATAGTCAAGTAATAATACATTATAACCATCATCATCCTATTAAAGATAATGCAATAAACAGATAAAAGTATTGCTTTATCTATTACAGATACAATTGTTTACTAATCTTACTAATATTATAAATGCGAAAGTTTAGATGGATGGATGTTTGTTAGCGTTTGTAGCTTAAAAGGCTGAACAGATCTCCATGAAATTTGGCACAGGTTTAGAGCATAGTCGGGAAGAACACATAGGCTACTTTTTATCCCGGGAATAGTTACGGTTCCCGTAGGATTCATTAATTTAGTTTTTTAATGTTTACTCGATTATTCTGCAACGGTTCAACATATCTTATTGAAATTTGTCACAGATATAAAACAAAGTCTGGAGTACACATGGGATAAGCTTCATCCCCGAGGTGTCCGGTTCCCGAGGAATACATAGCTTTTTGTAATTTATATAGTTCGTATGTTTTCTAATACCACGCAGACGAAGTCGCGGGCAACAGCTCGTATATTATAATCCTTTACTATAACTTTAATCTAATAAAATGTAAATGCTATAGTTTGTCTAAATAAGATAGATTAGTTTGATAAATGATGCATATGAAGTATCGAATTCAATTCGTATGAAAGCAAATGCCGTACTTAATAGACAGGTATCATAGTGACGAAACAAACACGCAGCAAACAATTTTGAACTATCGATATTCGGTTTAAATAATTATCAAACTCAACTAAAATTATTATTTTCTTATTAACTAACTTAGAGGATAATTCTATTATTGCTTATAGTGGTCAGAATTTAGCGATGACAGAAATAATAGCGATAGTAATAAACATTTATTTACTCTCATTATTTGTAATGGTCATTGCTAATTTGAAAAAACAGTGTTTTTTTTTTCAATTCACAAGTTATAACTATGAATCTATCAATTCCAACTTCTATAAGAATAAAAATCGAAAATTCATGAGATTCATGACTGATTTTACACAACCATCCCTACTAAATTGGAAGTGAATTGTCCAACTAATCTAACTTATTTAGACACACTATAGCTGGCAAATTTACAAATTAGCTGTTCCCATGCAGCTTCACCCTCATGAAATTATAAAAACTTTATTTTATTGTTTACATTTGTCAAATTCTCAATTGCAAATGTTAAAATTTAAATGCTCAAATGAACAAAGACCTTTGATATTAAATACCAATACCAATACCAATATAGCATGGAAATTTTGCTTTCATAATGTTGGCTTGTAGTTTGTCCCTTTCCCACATGAAGGTTATTCTGCAATTTATTTACCTCCAAAATTTAATAACATGAAAATATATAGCATAAAGTGTGTTGTAAGTGTAGGGCTTTATATTCAAGTAAGATTTATTTTAAAATATGCTGCAATTGCTAACATCTGCTACAAAGTAGTGTATTTACACTTTATTATATTAGTATAGAAGTATAGATTTGGTCTAAGGCAGTCTCTTTGTTTACAAAATCCATACTAAATGGCTGTCTCCCTTGATAATTTACTCCGAGTACAACTGTATACATTAATTATTGTGTTTGTTATTTTACTAGTTTGTTGTTTCTCTCTGAACTTTGGCACAGACGTAGAACATAGTCTAAAGTTCTAGAAGAAAACAGGCTATTTTTTTTTAATTTCGTGTCGACGGAGTCGCCGACAGCTAGTTTATTATAATTATAATGTTTAAATTAACAAAGCCATAAAAAGCAATTAACCCAAAGAGTTAAGCAGAGGATATACGGCGCAACTCTTGTTTTTCTATAATAAAAAGTCACTTTACCTTCCATGTTCCTATTCCGAGAATCGGACATTCAATTCCATTATGGAATTTCACTCTAGGAACTACTGCCGCCATTTTCGATATATTTTCAAATCACAATGTATTCCAACTAGATTCTTATTAGAGATAAACTATGTAATACAAAGTATTTTATCTACTATCGAAAGGAATGCCGGCAAAAAAAGTTTTTGACAGTGACAAATGACAAAATATTTTCAATATCTGATCTGTATAAATGGATAGGTCTATTTTTAAAAAATAATTTTACATAAAAATACATAAAGAAAATACTTCAAAAAAACAAATTGTATATTTTCTTACCTTCCATGTTCCTAAACCGATGGCTGGAATAGTTTTTCCATTATTAAAGGTGACGACAGGAACATTTGGAGCCATTTTTGTCAGCGTCCGCGATCTTCCGCACACGAAGACGAAGTGATAATGATAATAATCTCAAGTACCGAGTTATCATGAGTTTTTTTCCGGCAATGAGGTCAAGAGTAATTGTTATTCAATATTCTGTATATAATAAAACTCGTATATTAACGGATAATTTCATTCGTCGAATCTATTTTAAAATCTTACTAATATTATAAATGCAAAAGTTTAGATTTTTGTATATCAGAGCTTGTAGCCTTAATGCTAAGTCATATATGTAGAGGATAGTCTGGATAACAAAGGCTACTTACTTTTGTTTTTTATTGCACGCGGACGGAGTCGCCGGCGAAAGCTTGTACTATAAATATGAAAGTTTAGATGCATGTTTGTTAGAGTTTGTAGCCTAAATCGGATCTTGATGAAAGTCATAGATGTAGAGGATAGTCTGGAAAACATAGGCAACTTCAGTTTTTTTTTTTAACCTGGCTGTCGTTAGTAAAGGTAATATCGACCTCTTTGACAAAAACATTGCATATTTTTTATAGCATGTAACATTGTCGTTGTATTTAAATATAACAGTTTTTAGGTTATAAATAAAATACGTTCATGTGATTTAAATTTGTTATATATTTATATAAACTTTATAGCTTAAATTATAATTATCCATACAATACATTCTGTTGCGTAATTACTCGGAATGTCCGATATCATTATATGGATATGCCATCATAAAAAACTACAGACGAAAGATAAATAAATTAAAAATCAACTACACAAATACAATCTTTCCATACACACTTTCATATAATTCAGCAAAACACTATATTGAGAGTTTAAGCATAATTTCAGCTGCCTATAGACAAGGTAATATAAAATTTAAACATACATTTTGATTAAAATGATGTTTTTTACATAGATTATAACATTATGGTTTTATTTGAAGTTTTAATATAGGGGTGGGATACCCTCTACACCCCATTTTCTTCTAAATTCTAAAGTGCAATTGTCATGATTTTAAAATTTGAAAGTTTAATAATTCAATAAGTACAATTAAAGGCATATCCATGTTAACATCAACCGATCATATCCCATACATAGCAAAGCTAAGTGATCATTTCCACTGAACGATTAGTCACGTGCAGTTTATTTTCACTGGTAGATTACTTGTTTAAAAACTACTGGGTCGATTTCAAAAATTACTTCACCGTTAGAGAGGTAACTTATCTGTGAGTAACACAGGCTGTATTTTTTATTATTGTTTTAATTTCACGAGAACAAAGTCGCAAGCAACAGCTAGTTTTATCTAGATCTATACTAATATAAAGAGAGAGAAATTATATTTTTGTATTTATTGAAATAACTCAAAAACTACTGGGACAATATCAAAAACTCTTTCACCATTAAATCACTGAGTAACATAGGCTATATTTTATTATTCCGCGCGAATTTCTCAAGCAACAAGTCTTTCTGTCGACTAATCGTCCAGTGGAAACAGTGTTAAGTCTAGAATGTCTTGCGATGCACCGCACGTTGACCTTCTTCGTCATATTCTCGTTTGGAGACCCACATCTTCCTGAAGGTGTCTAAAGACGCGAGAATAGAACCTCCTATCCATGTCGAGTATAAACGTTCTTGAGGCGCCGATATCTAAATTATACAGTTTTTATGATAAAACGTCTTAAAACCAAAGAGATTAAAAAAAATATAGGGGAGACAGAGACTTGACTTGACATCATAATCTTTGATAGACCCTCAAAACCACAAGTTAAATAATTAGGATTATTCCCAACCGTCACCCCGATTTGTCCCCACGTGAGAATTTAATCCGATCCACCTTTCAGTCCCGCTATCACCAATAAGGTGACAGATAGAACCGATATGAAATAAAATAAGTTCCAACCGTCCCCGTAACAAAGGTGAGTCGGATTCTCATTTTCTCTACGTGGGGACAGATGAGACGGATTCTCATCTGTCTCTACGTGGGGACAGATGAGACGGATTCTCATCTGTCTCTACGTGGGGACATATGAGACGGATTCTCATCGTCTCTATGTGGGGACAGATGAGACGGATTCTCATCTGTCTCTACGTGGGGACAGATGAGACGGATTCTCATTGTCTCTACGTGGGGACAGATGAGACGGATTCTCATCTGTCTCTACGTGGGGACAGTGGGGCGACGGTTGGAAAATATTCTATTAATTGTATTTAAATTGTCAATAGTTGTTAAACAATATTGAAATGTTTACATTTTTTTTTAAATTCTATGCGAACGGAGTTATAAATATATGTCGCAATCAGAAGAAATCAAATTGAATTTAAGTCAAAATTTCATATCTTAATCGAAACATATCGTTACGATGTATAATTATTTAGTGGAAATACGAATTGTGATATTGAGGATTACGAGTACATCAACTATCAAGACAACCATTATGTTGAAATACCTGAGTACCACGCCTACAAGATGTCATAAATCACCCGATATTACCTGATGTTAGTCGAAAGACTTTAATAAAATAAAAAAATAAAACTCACCCTATAAATAAAAATAAAATAAAATAAAACTCACCCTAATCTTCATATCTTTCGGAGCTAATCTTCGTATCTCTGCCAGCAGACGGTCTCCGAACCCTCGGAAGAGAGTGGAGCCTCCACTCAGCACAATATTCTGGTACAGCACCTTCCGGAGATCCATATCTGACTTCTGGATGGAGAACATTAACACCTCGTGGAGACCTGAAAGAAAATACACTCAAATGTCACTTAGGGTGTTACTTAGTAATAGAATACCTCGAATTTATCTACAGTAAAAAGATGAAAGATTTCTATATGTATTGAAATAACTCAAAAACTACTGGGACAATTTCAAAAACTCTTTCATCATTAAAAAGGTAATTTATCTGTGAGTAACATAGGCTATTTTTTAGTTATATGCAGACGTAGTCGCGAGCAACAGCTATGTTATATGTTTTTAATTACATAGCTGTTCGCGACTTCGTCTGCATCTAATTAAAAAAAAATTAAAAACATAGCCTATGTTACGCACTGATAACGTAGTTTTTTAAATTGTCCCAGTAGTTTTTGAGTTATTTCTATACATACAAAAATCCAAATAATTCTTCTTCATAATATTAGTATAGAATATAGATATAGATTGCACTGCTAGTGTTTCATCCGCACGATTTTTAGAATTTCCAGGTGCATTTGTGAGAGTTCGTAGCCTAAACTGCTGAACGGAATTCAATGAAATTAGTCATAGATGTAGAGGATAGTCTGGAACACGTATTTACTTATATTCAAAATCCACACAGAGTCGACGGCCAAAGCTAGTTATATATTACTTACCTTCACATTCTTCTCCGATGAGATCAGGTCTGAAAAGAACTTCAGGAGCACGGAACCTCGCTTGACCTATCTGTTTACAAAATACATTAATGATCACATAAAAAAAAAACATTACAAAAAGAGGATGATAATATTAAAAAATAAAAAAAAATCCGGAAACCTAACTTTTGTCCCATTTTTTACAGTATTCTTTTAAAAAAGTATGGAAATTCAAATATGACAGCTATAGAGATGTATGGAGGTAACTGTACCAACCCTCTGTATAGACATGGGTAAGTTAATGATAAAAAGACATTTAAATATATAGACGAGACAGAACAAATATTTTTTTTGCCGGCACTTTCTCTGAAAGGTACTATATCAGTTGTCAAGTTAAGTGCCATCTCGTGTACATGCAATAAAACATTTGACTAAATTATAAGCTCCATCTTCTATACTAATATTATAAAGAGGAGAGATTTGTATTTTTGTATGTATTGAAATAACTCGAAAACTACTGGGACAATTTCAACAGTAGTAACATTAAAGTGCTATATGGGAATTTGACAAATGTAAACAATAAAATAAAGTTTTTATTACTAGTGGAATAGCTAGTTTTATATATGACAGTAGATAGATGTACAGGGTGACTCTTAACGGACGGAGACTTGTACGAAAAAGTTGGTGTATGAAAATTAGTTACAGGTTCTCAAAGTTAAAGAAATTTTGTTTTAAGAAAATTTACAATATTTTTTTTTATTTAGTCCTCGTGTGAGTTATTCCAAAAAAAAGGGATAATGGTACAAAAGCCTAATTATTAGGCTTGTTAAAGAAAAAAAAATCACCACTGCTATCACATTATTTTGTACGTACGGTCAAATTTAAGTCGGAAATCTGTTTTTTTCCGATTTTTTTACACAAAATTAAATAACTATGAAACTATAGAAAATCGGACAACAAACTTTACGTTTAAATAATAGCTCTTGAGGTCTTCTACCACCACAAAACCGTTCCATCCGTAAAGAATCACTCTGTATATACACATACTACATACTATGCCGACCTTCTATAGGGACAAGAGCAAGTCGATGAATTCTGTATTTTTAGACAACTTATTTATTTGATATTGTCGCTTTAAACTCAGAGCAACACTTCTCGCCAGGACTCAGGTTGCGCGCCAATCTATCCATCCTCCTAGTGACATTGACAGCTGTCAGCTAGGGACGCGACGTTTATGCCGATAATCTAGAGTTGCGCCAATTCTATAGCACGGTACTAATTTTGTTCTTAACAGTATGAAATACAAAATTTAATTTAAAAAACATACCTCAAGTAAAGTCCCATCAGGCAGAGTATATTGTGCTCGTTCAGAATCTAAAGTTTCCTCCTTCAAAGGGTTAGGGGAAAGATAACAAGCTCGTTCTTTAATGGACTTTACTATCTCCAATTCCGCTGATGTTCGGAGATTCACACCTTCTTTGCGAAGTAACAATCTGCAAGATGAAAATGAAAATGAAAATGAAAAAATGATTTATTTAAATCCAACAATCATGTATACACGGCGTAGTAAAGTACAGTTTATGGATACAGTAGATTTTTTTTATATATATTGACCAGTACCCTCGCACTAGGCGCAGCCTGTATCACGACGGTCCTGCTCTTAAGATTAAACAAACGATCGTTAGACGGAAACAAATTAGTTAATAGTTACACTTATATTTACGTGCCATTTGTTTCAAAAACATAATTTTAAATTTTTATACAGAAGAATAAAATAAAATAGCTACAACAATAGAAAACTTAACATACTCTTTTAAGAATTCCTTCTGTGTCCTCGTACGTTAATTTTAACAACCATGACTTTAATTTTGAACACTAGTTTTATCCCGTGAATGTACCTAGTATCCTATAACATTCTTTAATACTTTAGCTACCTTCGAGTTAAAGTTTCGTCAAAATAGGTCCAGTATTTTCGAAGATTATAAGGAACAAACATTGATAAAGTTTTTTTTAATCTGTTTTTTTGTTAACAATATAGATTTTGTAATGAAAAATGATTTTTCAATACTAAAAACATACTCCAATCTTACTTCTATATTTGCATTATAAAGAAAAAAGATTTGTATTTTTGTACATATTGCAAAAACTCAAAAACTACTGGGTCAATTTCAATAGTTGTGACATTAAAAATTTAGGCTAAGTTTTTGTTATAATTGTAACTTCACGCAGTAACTAAAAACTAGTATAATATAAATAAACTTTATACAGAATGTTTGTTAGTTTTTAACCTAAACGACTGAACGGGTTCCGATGAAATTTGCTATAGACGTAGAGGATAGCCTGGAAGAACACATTTTTTTTTATAGTAAAAGGGGGAAAACGAGCGGCGTAAACACCGCGGTGGTCAACGACGCCCATGGACATCTGCAACACCAGAGGAACTACAGATGCGTTGCTGGCCTTTGATGAAATGGTAGGCTTGCTTCTTGAAGGACCCTAAGTCGTATTGGTTTGGAAATACCGCCGAGGACAGACCGTTCCACAACGCGGCTGTGCGGGGCAGAAAGTTCCGCGAAAACCGCACGGTTGGCACATAGGCTACTGTCATTTTTTTAATTCCACGCGGACGGAGTCGCAGGGGAAAGGTAGTCAATTAATATAAATATGGTAGTTTTCTCACCTAAGATACCTCGTTACATCCCTTCCAGCGACATCAACTCTCATGATGCTGTGAGGCATCGCGAAACCCTCGTATATCGGCACAGCATGAGTTACACCATCCCCTGAGTCTAACACCACGCCGGTGGTGCGACCTGTCGCGTATCTATACATACATACATACAAATATTACAAATGAGAAAGTTTAGATAGATGTTAGTAATCTAAACTGAATTGGATCTCAAAAGTCATAGATGAACTCATAGACTACTTGTTTTTTTTTTAATTCCACGCTAATTTGCGGGTGAAAGCTAGTCTTTACGAATATTATAAAGAGGAAAGATTTGTATTTTCGTATGTATTGAAATAACTCAAAAACTACTGGGGAAAATTTTAAAAATCCTTCACCGTTAGAAAGGTAATTTATCTGTGAGTAACATAGGCTACATTTTTTCGTTTCTTTCTTATTATTTTTAAATTTCACGCAGATGGAGTCGCGGATAGAAGCTTGTATGAAATATAATATATTTTATTGTCTATAATGTTAGCTATCTTACTAATATTGTAAATGCAAAAGTTTAAATGGATGTTTGTTAGAATTTGTAGCCTAAATTAAACAGATTTCGACATAAGTCATATATTTAGAACATTTGGAACAAGTAGGTTACTTTTAACTGCACGTAAACGAAGTGGCGAGCGAAAGCTAAGTAAAAATACTCACAAACTTAACACAGCCTGCATAGATAGAAAGAGGGCAGGCACATTAAATGTCTCAAAGAATACTTCTGCCGCCTTCTCTCTGTTACGTCGAGGATTGAGAGGAGCCTCCGTTAGTAACACAGGGTGTTCTTCTGCAAACGTTGATAGTTGGTCCTGTGGAAAAATTATGTACAGTTGTCATACAGGGTGTTGCTTTAACAGGAAAAATGTTTTATTTTGTACTATAATTTACATTTCATATTAGACTGCTTCCCTTGATGCTTTGTCCCTACACCTGACAGACTTACAAAATCACATAATTAACTATACCAACCTTACTATAAATGTAATTCCAAACTCTCTCCATATCATTCCAATCAGTGACTATCCCATGCTCCATTGGATACTTGATGCTGAGCAGACCTCTGTGCTCTTCAGCACGAGGACCCACAAACAACTCTCCTTCTAATGCACCTGCCATCACTCGGACATGCTTCGGACGACCAATACTGGAATAATTGTAAGTGTTAAAAAAGTCTTATTGAACTAATATTATAAAGAGGAATTTGTTGGCTTTAAAATAATTCTTTGGCTATTAGAGTTACAACAGTAATATAGGGTATATTTTACATCAACAGGAAGGGTATGGATATAACAGAAAAGATATGAGATGACACTTTCCAGCCCAGATATAGTTTATTTTATAAGATACTTACTAGTTTGGAAAGCGACATTTCGGTATTTGATCACCGGCGAAACCCGCTTTTATAACTCCAGAGCCCTAAAACATACAAAAATAATCACAAACGAAAACCAGGTATTTTTGCGTATTATGACTCATAATATATTCTAAATGATTGAATAATACTTAAATAAGTTAATAAATAGTAAAGGAAGGTTATCTAAATCGTATAAATATTTAAATATATGAAATACAAAGCAATAGGACGAAAATAAAGTGCCAATTCGTCATAACGGTGGATCAATAATTTTTGATATTCAATAATTACATTGTCTATAACCACGGGTTGGTTCACTATAACGTCGTTTAACTCCATTTTATCCTTAAATTATGAGAATAAATAGAAATACTGGTTTATTAAGTGTATTTTACTATAAAATCCGCATTCGTTCGGATTTTTACAATTCTTTCATTTCCTTACATGACAGAAATATGACATCAGATTGACAAAGAATAAAAGTTAAAATGACAACGAGACAAAATTGAACATTGTTAAGAAATCTGAAGATATATAAAAAAGCACTTTTTTATTAATGTAATATTTCTGGTAAGATAATCAATTTATTCCATCGTTGATTATTGTAGAAAATTCTTTGCTTTTAACTATTTTACCGTTGAATCACAAACAATACCATAGTAAATGACTGCATATTCTTTGTACAAATTCTCAACATTTTTTCACATTTGAAATGTCAATGTCAGATTATGTGACCATGTTTTGAAAAATTTGAATTCAGTACAAAATGATTTTATACAATAAGTTTACACTTATTATACTGCAATTTGTTATAACGACACTACTATTCGCTACAGCTAAAGATGACAACGGTTTCTGTGATGCGTCTGCGAAAAATTGTAAACCAGGTTCTGGTGAGAAATTCTTATTCTACGACGTGAATCCCCCCGAAGGTTTTAATTTACGAAGAGATGTTTACATGAGATTCGCTATAATGCTGGCCGAAACACAGAAGGCAGGTAAAAAATTAAACTGGCGTTTAGTGCTACCACCTTGGCATCGACTTTACCATTGGAAAACAGGCGCGCAAAACAAACCATTGCCTTGGAATAAATTCTTTGATGTAAATTCACTCAAATCATACGCACCAGTAATAGAATTACAAGAAGTTGTATCAAAATCGTTTACACCTTTAAAAATTGACCGTCTTTATGTACTACAGAATTACGAAAATGCTTTCGAGGATGGTGTATTTCACGACAAATGGACCATTACAGATGATTGTAAATACGACGGTCTGTTTTGGGGATATAATAATATCACCGTAAAAGAGACGGTTTGTGTTAATTTTCAAGGGAAAATAACAAAGTTATGGGAAATAATTGCACTCCACCCAAGAGATAAAAATGTCATGTTTTCGCATGGTGAAATACCTTTACACAACTCCTACGGCACTAAAGCATATTGGGACTGTAGAAAAAGCATGAAATTCAATACCGGCTTAATTAAAACCGCTAAAAACTACATATTACAATTTCTAAACTGTAAAATTGAGAAATGTACTAACTATGTAAGCGTTCACTGGAGGCGGAGGGACTTTGCGTACAGTAGAGGAAAGGATGTCCCATCACTACAAGAGACTGGTAAACAGATAGATAGAATAATAAATAACAATGTACAAGATATTAAAACAATTTTTATTGCAACTGATGCATCGGAAACTGAAATAACTACATTAGAAAATGATCTTAAACAATTAGGATATAAAGTATACTTTTATATACCTAGTAAAAAGGAATTAGAGATGTACAAAGATGGTGGAGTTGCAATTATCGATCAAATTATATGTTCCCATGCTGCTTATTTTATTGGCACCCATGAGAGTACTTTTACATTTAGAATACAAGAAGAAAGGGAGATATTAGGCTTTCCGAGCTCAACTACATTTAATAGGCTCTGTCCTGATAAAGGGAAATGTGAAACACCATCAAAATGGACTATTATTAACTAAAGATGTCACTTGAAATGCAAGTTTAGATAGATGTTTGTTAGAGTTTTACAGCTGAATGGATCTTGATGAAATTTAGCATAGATGTAGAGGGTAGTATGGAAGAACGCACACTTCTGTGTAATTCCATGTGGACAAAGTCTCCTCTGAGAGTTAGTAATAAATATTTTGTTACAGTTTTACAGAATATCTCAAATAACTGCCTTCTCTAGCATATCCTCTGCAATACATACTTTCCCCTACATAGTGCACAGTATGTACTCTTACATCTCTCAGCTTGAATATTTGAATTCACTGCCTTCTCTAGCATTTGCTAGAAAGATAATATTCTCTGTCATGAAATAGTGTTTTTTTTTTAGATTTAAGGACCTAATAGTAAGAAAGTCTTCCAATATTAAGTTAGTTTTACTATGAACCTATCTTGTTAAACTATGCATAGTTTTGTTCTGGTTTAACCATAAGTAGAACTTCCTAAAGGGGTTTTTCTTCCAATTGTGCCATATTAGTTATAAATACATATTCAAACAAATATTTAAGTCCCTTTCTTTTCCACCCTTAAGAGGAAAGGATGGGGAGGTAAAGTGGATTTGATGGTGGAGAAGCATAGGAAGGGGAAATGTCCTCTTTATGTGCGTCTTCTCCGTCAATGAAGGGTAGGCAACGCATCTGCAATTGCGGATGAGTATGGGCAGCAGTCGCTTTCCATTTCGGTGGATTCAGGTGGCTGCTTGCCAGTTTGCCACCTTATATTATAAAAAATATATATATATATACAATGTGTGGTTTTTTATATTTTGAGATAGTGATTAAAATTCATGTGTGATAAAAAATAAATGATAAAAGTTATCGAGGCTTATTTCTTTATTACCTAGTAGCTTTCGCCCGCGACTCCGTCAGTGTGAAATTAAAAAAAAGGTAAATATCCTATGTGTTCTTCCAGAGTATCCTCTACGTCTATGCCAAATTTCGGAGGCAGGTTGATATTCATGG